CCAGATTCTTCAAAACAGACCATCCAATAAAACTGAGTGGCCCGGTGGACGTGTTCTCTCTCTGTATCATCCGGCATGGTAGTTCCTAGCCACGTGGGGTTATTGAGCGCTTAAACTCTGATCGGCTTAACTGAGGAATCGAATCTTTACTTTTATTTAATTTTCCTTTATGCTTATAGTTGATAGCCACGCGTATTGGCTAGCACAGCCCTACACCAAGACTGAATTTATTTTTGTTTGACTGTCCTGTCAGCTCCTGAGAAAGGGGCATTCTAATCCTCTCCCACAATGGCGATGACCGCTGTTTTTTGTTCCTCTGAGAAGGTCTTTGGTTTAAACTTCAGCCCTCCAGGTAAGATCTTGACCCGTATGGTCACATGCACTCACCTGACAGCAGGCGAGAGTTTCATAAATATTAATATTGGGCTGATAGGTTCTGTCTCTTCTGCATTTTCCGTCTTTGTCCCCTGCTGCTGCAGATGTACTTGGGTTGGTCTTTTTCTTTTAAGTGTTACGGAGAGTAAACGCAACGATTTGATAGCCTGTAAATGGAAAATTGCTCCCGCTGGCCCTTCCTTCTTGTCTTCTGTCCTTACGAGGCCGCCCATCTTTTGCAGTACATTCATAAGCGCGTTTGCAAAATTATTTGTAGGGATAACTTGGCCCAGGGTCTCTAAAGAAGAGTTTACTTCTTTGTACCGGGCGCCTGTGGACCCTCGGGATTTTTAACATCAGTCTTTGTTTATCTGTGGGGGGGAGGGCTGGTCCGGTAGCTCACGGTTAGCAGAACTAGGCCTCCACTCTGTCCGGTACGCAGCCCACCGTGACCTGGTGCCCCGACCCCGCGTCTCCCTCTGTCAGCAGTGAGGCGGCCTGCTTGCCCAATGCCGAGTCTCTTCCCCCTCGTCTGACGGACCCCCTACCCCCTGCGGTGTTGAACACTGTTCACGGCTGCCTCCTTTACCAACGCTCTTCCCGTAGTTTCTCTCCTGGTGAGTTTTTCTCCTTTTCTAGCAATTCTTTCTCTCCCTTAGGCTCTCCTTCTTCAGCCTGGCTGCTCCTTAAATAATGGTGGCCCTAGGGGCCTGACTCACTGTCCCCTCCTCTGACTCCGCGTTGCTTCCTGGATGATCTGTTCCATGTCCAGACCTCAGCTCCCACCTGCTGGCTCACTACCTTGTCTCCTGGCTTCATGGGCCTGCTGAGTTGTTCCAGAAGTATCTCCCATCCGACGCCGCAAGTATCCTGTCTTAATCCTTGGGTGGACCTCTGTCAGAGGATAGCAGGACCATCCCCACTAAACATCTGTGGGAGCTGTGGACTCCTCTTTGCTCCCAGGGCCGCGGGGTGTCTGTCGTCTTCACCGGTCTGTCGCAGTGTTGCTGGGCCGTCTGCTCTGGAGAGGCCTCGGTACCTCGGTACCTGCTCTGGAGAGGCTCGCTGTCCTGATCAGTGTGTGGGTCACAGGTGCCCAGTGAGTCTGAGCACCTGCCAGGCTCGGTGGGCCCCCTTCTGGTCCTTTCTCTCCCCTCTCCACCCCTACCGTGACTCCTGGGCCCCACTTGCCCCCACTTCCCACCTCCCCCCCAGACTCTGCCGTTGTTTGCTAGCTGGCCTTTCTGTCCTCGCCTCTCTCACTCATCCTTCACGTTGGTAGCTGGAGGCCATATCCCTAAAATGCAAATTGGGCCATGTCGCTTTTTCAGCTTACAATCCTTTAGTGATTCTTCATCATTTTCAGGCTAAAATGAAACTCCTGAGTTTGGTGTGGAAAGTCTCCTCCTTTGCCACCCACTCCATGCCTTCATCCACAGACTCTCTCTGGACCTGTCATTTTGAACTATTTATATTCCCTTTTCTTTCCGGGCCTTTGAACAAGACATTCCCTCTTGTTGGGACTCTCTTTTTCTCTTTTCTTCCTGACTAGTTTGTCCTTTAACCTAAATCATTATTCCCTTCTCTGGGCAGGCTTCTCTGGAAGACCTGGGTTAGACACATACAGACCAGGAGAGGAAGAGAAGGAAGGGAACTTTGTTTTTTTTTTTTTAAATTTTTTTTTCAACGTTTTTATTTTTATTTTTGGGACAGAGAGAGACAGAGCATGAACGGGGGAGGGGCAGAGAGAGAGGGAGACACAGAATCGGAAACAGGCTCCAGGCTCTGAGCCATCAGCCCAGAGCCCGACGCGGGGCTCGAACTCACGGACCGCGAGATCGTGACCTGGCTGAAGTCGGACGCTTAACCGACTGCGCCACCCAGGCGCCCCAAGGAAGGGAACTTTGGTAGAGTCAAGGTCATTGCTGAAGATAGAAGATAGAAATGACAGACAACAATCTATCAAGACTTCACACTTGTGCCCCAGTATCTTGACTCCCTATTCAGGGGCTTACTCTAAAGGGAATGTGGGCAATAAATAAATAAATAAATAAATAAAGGGAATGTAGGCAGAAGCAAGAAAAGAGTCACAACCAGAAATAGGAAGGGACAAGAATGTGTCCTAAAGAGGTGATGAGGTTTTAGAATAGCAATCTGTAAAGTCATCACCTAGAGCCAAATTCTGGAGCATTTGAAGTGAGGGGTATCCTTAAGACCTAAACAGCTCGGGTAAGTGAAATGGAGTTGTAGATGCATAAGGAGCCATTATTCAAAAGACTGAAATTAAATCACCCTGTTGCATCATACACACAAATTAACTCAAGTGGCTTAAGGACTCGAATGTAAGACCTGAAACCATAAAATTCCTAGAAGAAAACATGGGCAGTGAGCTCCTTGGCAATTGGTCTTAGCAATGTTTTTTTTTCCGGATCTGATTCCAAAGGCGAAGGAAACAAAAGCAAAAATAAATGGGACTACAACAAGCTGAAAAACCGAGCAGCAAGGGAAAGCATCAACAGAATCAAAAGGCAGCCCATTGAATGGGAGAAGATATTTGCCTAAGGGGTTAAATATCCAAAACACATCAAGAACTCACACAACTCAACAACAAAGCACCAAACAACCCAAGTGAAAACATGTGCACGGGGTGTGAATAGACATTCTTCCAGGGAAGATACACAGACGGCCGGTAGGCATGTGACAAGATGTTAAACATCTGTCATTAGCAGGGCAGCGCAAATCAAAACCACAATCAGCTATCTCCTCACACCTGTTAGAATTGCCATTCCCAAAAAGGCAAGAGATGACAGGTGGTGTGAGGATGTGGAGGAAAGGGAACCCTCCTGTACTTGGTGGGGATGTAAGTTGGTACAGCCACTATGGCAGACAATATGGAGGGGGATTCCGCAAAAAGGTAAGAGGAGAACTAACCATACTATCCAACCATTTCCCTTCTGGGTATTAAGCTGAGGAATACAGAAACACTAATTCGAAACGATATAGGCACCCCCATGTTTATTCTAGCATGAGTTACAATAGTCAAGATAGAGGAACAACCCTAAGTGTCCACCGGTTGACGTTGACGAGTGGGTAAAGAAGATAAGGCATATATACACACAATGGAGTGTTCATTACCCAGCCACAAAAAGAAGAAGGAAATCTTCCCTTTGGAACACCACGGGTGGGTCTAGCAGGTTTCAGACCAAGTGAAAGAAGTCAGACGGAGAAAGACAGATGCCATGCGATCTCACCTAGAAAACAGGACAAAGGAACAAAACAAAAGCAAACTCCTAGATCCAGAGAACGAGTTGGCGGTTACCAGAGGGGAAGGGAGTTGGGGGAAGGCTGCGTGGCCGAGGGGACTCAACTGCATGGTGACGGGTGGTAACTAGACTTACCGTGGTGATCAGTCTGTAGTGTCTACAGATACCAAATGACAGTGTTGTGCACCTAAAGGTCATATGACGTTGTATGCCGATCTTACGTCAGTAAAAACAACCAAACAAAAAACATGGAAATCCGGGCCGAAACGAAACATGGGATCACGAAGCGTTGAAACAACATCACATCACTTTTACGACAAAAAAAGGGTCTATAAAAAGTAATGAGCGGCCAAATGATAAAATGTTGTTAAGGGAAGTAGGTATGTTTTAGAGCACGTCCTTCATGTCTGACGTTCACCTCAGAAAGGGCAGTCCCATTTTCCTTCAGGATTGCTCCAGCGCTGCTGGCAGGCTTTAGGGCTGTGTAGACCCTGGGCCCTGATTCGTGCAGTCATTTCTATCGCAAGTGTTGGGGAAGCCCTCTTATTTTTTTATTTATTTTTATTTTATTTATTTATTTATTTATTTATTTATTTATTTATTGTTTTCAATATATGAAATTTATTGTCAAATTGGTTTCCATACAACACCCAGTGCTCATCCCAAAAGGTGCCCTCCCCACACCTCCAGCTCTTCATGCTGGGAATCCATAGTGAGTAACTATGGAAACCGCTCCCGATTGTGACTGAGGACCGCTCAAACTAAGGTGGGCAGCTTGCTCTTTCTTACCGCATGTTAAGAGCCACAGGGAGCTCTCCATATTCGTGGCACCCCCAAAAAGAAATGAAATTGAGCAGGTTAAGAGCCGTAGGGAGGTTTCCGTAATCATGGCGCACCAGAAAGAAATGGGATCCTGGAACTTGAGTTGAGTGACTTCACACCTAACCTTTTACATCTGCTGAGAGATTACCGCAAATCCCGATCTGTTTCTGAAGTGAGGCCTTGATGATTGGACTTCCCTTGGGGCTGTGGAGAAAGCCATGAGGCTGTGGTGCTTTTTAGGTTTTAATATTTAATTGGGATGCTTGATATCGGACTGTGAGTGAGAGTTGTGGCTTTCGAATAGGTTTGGTCCAGCCTTGGTGGATTTGCTGTTGATTTTAAAATGGGCCAGACCATTTGAAAGGTATAACCCTGACGTGGTTTTGTATTTCTTCCTTACTTGGACTCGTGAATTGAGCCGTTACGGCATGAAGCGTTATGAATTTCACAACCCAGCTATTTGAAGTGATTATATAGAAACGTGATGTTAAAGCATTCTCGACTTGTTTTATCTCCTTTTTTTTTTTTTTTCTTCAAAAGCACTGCCAGTGAAAGACATAAAAGAAAAACCTGAACAACAGGCCAGAGCAAAAGAGACTGACAAGTTACCCAGCAGTACTGAACCTCGACAGCAACCAAGTGCCTTATTTGCTAGAGGAAATAGGAAAGCAGCCAAAAGTCCTCAAAGATCATCAACTAAAATAAAGGAGAAGAAGCATCCGTTTGCTCTTTATGGGTGGGGAGAAAAACAGACCGATACCGGAAGCCAAAAAACTCACAACGTCTGCGCGTCCGCCCCCGTGCATGAGGTGGGTTCGTGGGCACCTGGCTGTCACTGCTTTTCCTTGGAGGCTGGGGGTTGGGCTGTGTTCCTGTCATCGGGTGTCCTATTCTGTGTTCACCACGGTGCTTTGGGGTCATGGTAGATCTTAGGAGTCCAAGTCCTGGAATTTGGCAAACAGATTGAGGGTGTCAGCGCCCTGGAGATCGAGGGGTGTTGCTGGGAATTAGCTGGGATTTGGAAGATTTACCAACACGGAACCAGGAGAAGTGGCTGGAGTCAGGGTTTTCAAGTCCCGGGGGGGTGGGGGGGGCGCAGGTGCAGAGGAGGAGCCCAGCGGGGCTGGTGGCTGCCCGTGTAGATGTGCCGTGGGCCTCTTGACAGGTTTCTGGTTCCTGTGGCTTTGATAACTGGTATTCCTCGACTCCCTTGTTATCTTTTGTTAGATTGATTCTGTAGTTCTTGGCACCTACTGTAGATTCCCTTTGGCTCTTTGAGTTCAATTCGGATGATTGTGTTTTCCCCTGCTCATCCACAGCCAGTGCCTTTTACTCATTGGAGCCTTAGTTGTCCTCTTTTTTTTTTTTTTTTTTTTTCCACGTTTATTTACTTATTTTTGAGAGAGAGCACAAGCTGGGGAGAGAGAGAGGGAAACTCAGAATCCGAAGCAGGCTCCAGGCTCAGCTGTCGGCACAGAGCCCGACCCGGGGCTTGAACCCACGAACCGTGAGCTCATGACCTGAGCCGAAGTCAGACTCTTAACCGACTGAGCCACCGAGGTGCCCCCAGTTGTCCTCTCAGTCCCGAGAACACGTCTGACCAGAGGTCTTCGTGTGTGCAGCCATAAGGCAATTACATATGTTAGCACTGACATGACTAAGCCGGCCTAAAGCAAAGAACGAATGAAAAGAAGCAGAAAATACAAGGAATTTGAATTCTGATGAATTACCATGATCAGATTTTTACTGAAGAGACTTCTCAATGAACCCTAGCAGGTGGTGTTATTTGGAGTGATATTTGAGACAATGGAGCTGTGGTTTAACAAAAGACTCTGGCTATTGCATGGGATTAAGTTCAACAGAGTTCATCTGTAGCATGAAACGTCTTAAGTGGTAAAAGTCCTTTAATGGAATACTTATCCAGGCTTACTGCTAAGCATCTTCAATAATTTTCCAGAGCCAGTTTCTAGAGATACATGCAGATTAGTTGCTTACCATTTATACCTCAAATTTAATGTCCGTTTTTTATTGTTTAGCGTCTTGGTCACTGACCAGGGGCAAGGGGATGGCTTTTCGGGAGGAGCTGTTATACCTAGGAGAAAGGGATATGATGAAGCCGGGCTGGCCTCTGCCCTGGTTTCCATCCAGCGGATACAGGAATCTACAGGAAGGAAGAGTGCCGAATTCTCTGGAAGAGGGAAAAAAGGTCCTGGGGGTAGTAAATATTCATCACAAATATTCTTGAAAATGAGTATAAAAGCCACGTAAGTTATTATACTTTTGTTTTAGAAGTAACAATAATCTTTTTATTTTTGAGTAATTTAGATTCACGAATCAGCATTACGAGCCAAGAACAGAAGACAGGTGGAAAGAAGGAAACTGGTCACTCAGAGGCAGCGCGCTCACTCTGTAGACGTGGAGAAAAACCGAAAGATAAAGCCTTCCTCCTCGGAGAACCCATGGATGACAGAGTACATGAGATGCTATTCGGCAAGAGCTTAAAGGCCGAAACAGTCGCTTGGACAGCCTCTTCAAAAGAGTGTAAATGAAAAGAAAGAAGAAACAAAACAAAAGAAAACAGACATAGATTTAAGAAACCAGCTGATTATGCAAGGTTTTCCGTAGGGAATGTCCAAAAGATTGCTCTATTTCAGTGAACCCTGGTCACCTACCTCAGCAGTAGGGCGACAGTTGAAGCCATAGATATTTGGTTATTTATGAAGCCCAGTCCCTAATATTTGATATTCTTATAAGGGTTTTTGTTTTAAAGCATCTTAATCTTTTCAGATACCGCCACCGAATGCCTTTAAATGGCTATTGATGCTTAACATTCAGTCTTCTCTGTCAGTGTAGCCGGAGCCTGTTTTCACCCTGTCCTGAGTAACTTTCCAGATTCCATAGTGAGGAAGATCATTCCGACCTGTAGCTTAAGACTCCTTTTCCTTCCGCGTGGTTTTCTTCGTGAAAGAACGGCTCATCGAAAGGGAGTTTCGACACTAACATTGATTCCTTGTATGGTGACACCAGAACCCCCGCAGTTCCTGAAAAAGTAAACTTACTCGTCTTTCAATTATGGCACCACTTTACACAGACCGTGATATTTAAGAATTATCTGGGCCGGGTGAGGGTCCTCTTTTCTCTTTAAATTGTCATCTGGGCACTTTCTATCTCATACAGATTTTAATAGATCGAATGCAGTCCCGTACGTAAAGTGCCAGTGCGGTGTGTTGAGAGGAGTACTGAACTTCTTTTGTGAAACTTTTCTTTTTATCATTGCAACTTTCTTAACACGTAACGGGAGAAGCAGCTCCTTGCTGCGGTCCAGACTTTTGGCATATACGCGCTGTGGACTCTTGCCTCTTCTTTAATGGTTGGCCGTGACATTTAGAACTTCCCGTGTGAAATTTCACTTAGCGATGTTGAGGTGGTCTTGCGCACGGGG